GAGAAGATGAGAAGATGTGAAGATAAGAAGATGTTAAGATGAAAAGATGTGAAGATGAGCAGATGTGAAGATGAGAAAATGTGAAGATAAGAAGATGTGAAGATGAGAAGATGTGAAGATTTGAAGATGTTATGTGATGATGTTAATATGCAAAAATGTTTGACAAACCCCCACTATTAGAAGAACCCTTCGCTCAAACGCTCTCGGGAATAAAGTTGGACAGAACTATAGGAAGAACTTAAGACATAAAGAAAGAAAAATACCGACATATAGGTAGACAGAAAGATAGATAGATAGATAGATAGATACTCTTGTTTTAGATTGATAGATGGATGGATGGATGGATAGATAGATAGATAGATAGACAAGCATATAGATAGATCGATAAGATAAAATAAGATAAAATAATATAGGATAAGGTAAGATAGATATATAGATAGCTAAATAGATATATAAGTAAATATACATATAAACATAGATAGATAGATAGATAGAAAGAAAACTAGATAGATAGATAGATAGATAGGTAAATAAATAAATATATATATATAGATAGATAGATAGATAGATAGATAGATAGATAAATAGATAGATAGATAGGTAGATAAGATAGATAGATAGATAGATAGATTAGGCCGGCAGATAGATAGATAGATAGAAAGATAGATTGATAGATTGATAGATAGATACATTGATAGGTAGATAGATAGATAGATAGATGGATAGACAGATAGATAGATAGATAGGTAGATAGATAGATAGATAAATAGATAGATAGATAGATAGATACATTGATAGGTAGATAGATAGATAGATAGATGGATAGACAGATAGATAGATAGATAGATAAATAGATAGATAGATAGATAGATTTTTTCTTTTAGATGGAGAGTTTTTAAGATAGACAGATAGATAGATAGATAGATAGATAGATTTTTTCTTTTAGATGGAGAGTTTTTAAGATAGACAAATAGATAGATAGATAGATAGATCGACAGATAGATAGATAGATTGACGGATAGATCGATAGATAGATAGATAGATCGATAAATAGAAAGATAAATGGATATATATAGATAGATAGATAGATAGGTAGATAGATAGGTAGATAGATAGATCGATAGATAGATAGATAGATAGGTAGATAGATAGACAGATAGACACATAGACAAATAGATAGATAAATAGGTACATAAATAGATATACATAAATATAGATAGATAGATAGATAGCTTGATATAAAAACAAAAAAACAATAGAAAACATATAATAAACATAACAATGCAGAAACAACATATAGACACGATACATAGACAAATAGATAGAAAACATAAAGAACACATATTGATTTATTTATTTTTATATGTATATGTGTATATATATATATATCATTAAATGGGAAAATAACCGGAAGAAACACGAGAGCTATATATATATATTTGTATATATACATAAATAGATATATATATATAAGCAAATTATAGATGGATCGGATTAGGCAAAATATAGATATATAGACTTACATAGATCGATAGATAAATAGAACGATAGAAGCATGGTACATAGACAGACAGATCGATCGAAAGATAGTTATGCTCTTGACATCTCTTGACTAAGTCATAGGTTTATTGTATGCTTTATCCATCGTGCATATCCATAGTAAGTATAAACACTATTCAGTTTATTCAGTAAAGGATCAGGAATAATCAAGATAGTCTATCAGATTCCATCAACCCGAAATTTCCGGAGATTTCATGAGATTTTGGGATACTTCCCCGACTTACTCGTACCTTAAAGAAGTCAGAATCATCCCAGGTCTTGGATCGGGTTGGGATGGCCATAAAGCTCAACCTCTCAACCATGGCAATCTTGGAGGCATTCTGAGGGGAAGCAAGCATTACCCTCTGGTAATGACTAACATAGCTATTGAACATGACCATTTATAGTGGATTTACATGGATTTACTTTAAAAAATTAAAGGACCGGATAACCCCACAAGTCAACTTCTTCCAACAAGCAACAAAAGAAAGGCAAAGACGGCATGGGGTAAGCAAGAAAGAGAAAAGAGATGGTGAAGGATTGGTGTGGAGTAAGTTATGTGTGGACGAGTATGTGTGAGTAAGTTGTGTACGGATGAGTTGTGTTTGTGGGTGAGGTGTGTGGGTGTGCGTGTGTGTGTGTGTGCGAGTATGTGTGTGTGTGTGCGGCCACGATCAAAGATGCCCCACGCCAGGAAGTGCGGCGAAGGGCAATCGATGCGTGACCATTGATTATGTGTCCGCAAACGTACAGCGCAGACCATCACGAAAACGGATGGCCCACGACTGGCGTTTGGATGATGTGTGTGTGGGTGTGTGTGTGTGCGTGGGCGTGTATGTGTGGGTGTGTGTGTGTGTGTTTGTGTTTGTCTGTGTGTGTGTTTATCTGTGTGTGTGTGCGTGTGTGTGTGTATGTGTGTGTGTCTGTGTGTGTGTGAGTGCGGGTGTCGGCGTGGACCATGTACGCGATGAGGTCAGTACCTGGCAGGTAGTATCAGAAGTTGCGATCACGCTGAAATTGCAACAAAACAGCTGTCCATGGACAGTGCAGAAACAGCAAGTGACATACAAATAGCTGCAACTGTTTGCACAGAACCTGTTCTGAGCTGGGACGAACGCCATCTGTTCTTTCGATCACATTTGCATCGTGTTCAGGAGCATATAGTGCCCTGAGGATCCGATATTGAAAAACTTCAATCCCTGTATTGAAAAAAAACATTTTCAATAATATTGAAAATGGCACATGTTGGGACCTCAAAAATCAATACCATGATCAATCCTATATTGATCTTGAGATTGATCAAGATTGATTAAAATTGATGGAAAATATTGAAAATGATATTGATCGATATTGATCGATATTGATCTTGGCAAAGCTTTTTCTTTGACAAGCTGAAGGTGTCAGGGCTTTCTTTGAAGCCATGTCTACAGCAGCATTCCAGGCTTGGCTTTCTTTCAAGCATCTAAATTATTTCATTGATTCTGAGCTGCACAGCCATGGTGTACTTTGTGATGAAAGATTCACTGATTCTCGAAGCTCTGGTTCCATGTGAGCAGCTGTGGCCCAAGGTTGCAATGTATCCCATGAATGATTCTTGCTTGTATGTCCAGCAGGTAGCTGGGTTTTGGAAATGCAGCATCAAAGCAATGTGTGCCACATAGTGGCATTTAGGCGTCAATGTGAATCTGACTTCATCTCCAAAATGGCGGTGCAACCAAATGTAATGCTGCATGCTTTCTTTCAAGCACTTCTCAGCTTTTGTGCTGTCCTTCATGAAAAAATCATCTTCTGAAATGATGGCATAGAAATTTGCCATTTGGTGGCAGCATTCAGCCATGTGGGCAAAAGCCTCACATTCACTGGCCTTCTTCCAGGCCACCATGGCTAATGCTGGCATGAGATGTCGAATCTCTCCTGCATGGCCTTTGAGCTTTGCTGGCTGTGAAAATGGGTTTCTTTCAGAAGTAAACATAGAAACCACGAGGTTGTTGTACTTCTCTGTGATGTGCAATTCTGCGTATGCTTCTTTGAGTAGTGCCCATATTTTGGCAGTGTTGCCAGGCCCAACCTCTTTTTTGGATCCAGGTGGATATGCCCAGGCATGTAGGATGGAGCCTGCCAACCTGGCAGTCACACCTAAATCTAAAGCGTGCAAGACATCGAAGCACACTCTGTATTCTGGTAGGCCACCAGGGATTTTGAACAGAGTGTGGTTGGTGCAAGGGCTTTCTTTCAAGCCTTCCAAAGATTTCATTTCCCATCCAGGTTCAGAGGTGAAATCAAAAGGGTATTTCAGATGGTTTCCTTTCTCACAATCACAGAGCCAGCAAAATTTTTTGCTTTGCCAATGGGGGAAACCTAGGTGATTTGCATAGTATTCCAAATCGCCTAAAAAATTGAACACCCAGAAGGAATGCCCCTCAGGTGTAATTGGCTTTCTTGCAAGCCTTTTCAAATTTGTTGGCAGTGGCCTCCCTTTCCAATCCACGTCTGGGTGAAAACCTTGGAAAAGAGCAGTGAAGCTCCAAGCCATGACCTCATGGATTTCCACCCATGTGTTGGAAGCAGCTGCTGACTTTGGCCATGCAGTTATGAGGAAAGAACTATCCATGGGGTGGCTGGGATGCATTTCCCTTGGGCCTTCTTTCAGGCCTTGAGGAGCATAAAGCGTGGGTCCCCAGGTGAATGTCATTAAGGAGTCTGTGGAAAATTCGACACCATCTCCATGAAGCCAGAGAGGGATGGTTTTGTGTTTTTGGCTTTCTTTCAAGCCACTGTCCCACAGCCTGGGGTCATTGCTTTTCAAGTTTCCCCAGAAAGCTTTCAACTTGTGAAGGCCAAAAAGCGAAGGAGCCAACTTAGGATAGCTGCTGAATAATTGCCAAACCAGCAAATGTGGCAGTACAATGTGGCATGCTGCCTTGGTCTCTGGATTTTCTTCTTTGGCATCCAAGGCAGGAACCTGAATGGAAATTGTTGGGCTTTCTTGCAAGCCCCCGTGCATGGACTTTTTCAACCTAGCCCTTAATAGCCTTACAAGGTCTCTATGGCAATTGCTTGGGTATTGACCAAAGGTTCCTAAGCCGCTCAATTCCACTATGCTCTCACATTGCAAGCCATCTGCAGTGGCTGCAAAAGCGATTTCTTGGAGCCCTGAGCTACTTAATTTCCCCAGGGACCAAAGTTGCAAAAGTTTCTTGCTTAGAGCCTGGCCTTCTTTCAGGCCTGGAGCTGGTCTTTTCCTAGTGTTTGTTAATTCTATTTTCTGATGGATGCCTGGCATGACCTTGAGCCATTAAAAACAGCTGCAGCATGCATGTATCTTACAGGTGAACCTCTTTACCCAAAAAAAGCTGCCTGGGGGCTGGGCATGCAAGCTGCTTATTTTTTTTGCGGGGCAACCATGCTGTCGCAAGTCAAGGCAAAAGTGGCCATGTCCCAGGCCTTCTTTCAGGCCAATCCTAGGCAGTGAGCAATTTCTTGAAAGCCTTCAGAGCTGATGCTGCTTCCAGCAAGTGGTTCTTGATGCCTTCCAGCTCACCATCTGTTGCCAAATCTTCCAAGCTGTCTCTAGATTTGATGAGAGCTTGCAGGACATCTGCACCCCAGCTGGCATCTTTGGCTTTCTTGCAAGCCTTCTTCAAATCAGCCACTCCTTTGCTGACCAAGGCCAGCATCTTCTTGACCTTACTGTCCTTTTCGTTTTCACCCACTTGTGTGGCTTCCTCTAACTTTGTGTGCCATTTTTTGTCTGCTTCCTTTTTTTTGGCAATCTTAGTCTTCTCTGCCTGAGCTTTCTTGCAAGCTCTGCTGTCCTCCTCCTTGACTTTCTCTTCCTTTGCGAGGTGCTTCTGCTTGTCATCATTTCTTTTTTCTTTTTTCTGAGAGACCATAGCCTGGCCTTTTTTCAGGCCTTGCAGGAAACTTGCTGCAGGATTATGTTGCTCTGCTGAACTTTCGTCCTCATGTTCAGAAGAAGTTTCAGAAGGTTCTGACAAAGCATCTTCAACCTGGAAGCCTTTCTGTGGCTTTTTTTCAAGCCAAAGGTCATCCCATTCCTGTTTTGTTCTTGCTGCTGCTAAGGCCTTCTTGCAGGCCTTCAGTTCCTCACCTTGCAGTGCTATTTCTTGCTCAGCAGCAATCCTTTTTTTTTGCTCCAGTGTGAGCTCGGTCCTGATCTTCACCAGGAGAAATTCATAGAATTTCTTTCCCACCTTTTTCACTGCTATTAAACCACTCTCTACCCTGGCCAGGGCCTCCTCTTCCCCATACCAGTCAAGGATCTGCTTCCAGGGGACCCACTCAAACCATTCTTTCTCCTTCTTGGAGTTGGCGACTTCTTGGCTTTTTTTCAAGCCCCCTTCCTGGGCCTGACCAGTCTTCAGGAAGTGCAGAAGCAGTTGCTTCTTCTGATCCAGGACACCTGGGCCACCCATCTGGAGCCAAGCTGCTTTGGCTTCAGGGTCTTTGTTCCTGGCTCCTTCATATTTTTTCCACAAGGCAGCTCTGTCTTTGTTGGAGATTTCCTGCCAGAATGCAGCCTCTGACAGGTGGCCTTCTTTCAGGCCTTGGATGGCTGCCTGTGTTTTTTCGTGAAGTTTGAGCCTGGAAGAAGTCAAAGTGGCACCAGCCTCAGAGCCTTCTTTCAGGCTTGCCTGGGCTGCCTTTGCTACACTTTCTGGAAGCATCTTTGCTGCTTCCTCTATCTCAGCCTCAGCAGCTGGTTTCCCTTCTTCAGAAGCATCTGGTTGGTGGCCTTCTTGCAGGCCCTCTTGCTGCTCCTCAGCAGTTGCCCCCTGGGTTGCTTCTTCCTGAGTTGCTTCGGGCTCAGAAGCTCCTACTTGGCCTTCTTGCAGGCCTTCTTGCTGCTTCTCCTCAGCACTTGTCTCTTGTGTTGCTTTCAGTGGTTGGCTTTCCTCATTTTTTTCATTCAGTTTCTGTGTTTTTTTTTCTGGCTTTCTTTCAAGCCCACAAGGGATGCAGGCCTTTTCTTGGCCATAGCCTCCAAGTACGGCTGGGGATTTGAGTTCTGAAATTGCTACAGAAAAAAAAGGTATGAATTGGAAACGGGATCGTCAAATGCCCAACTTTTACCACGGCAGCGCGGTATGACTCAAGGGCCCTAAAGCCAAATGTCAACGGGGGCATGTGATCACTTGGCTATACAAAATATACATTAGACAGGTCAAACTCACACTCAACCTGTTCTTCAAGGATCACATGATGCTAGTGAAAAAGTTGGCTCTAAGGCTTCTTCTGTACACGGTAAATGCACTCCTTCAAGACGCGGATAATGAGGTCCGGGCGCATGCTCTTGGTCAGAGCATCCGAGACCATAGTCCCTGTAGCAATCCAGGTAACGATGTCTCCTCCGCCATGATGCATATCCCAGGTCCTCCGGCCGTCTTGCCAAAGTGACTCGTGAATCGACTGCAACTCAATGCCGAGTCGTTTGTCTGCGACCCTGCCAAGTACCTCATTCGCAAGATGGTCTGTTAAAGACCTGCAGTCTGAAAGCATCAGTTGTGGAATACAGCTGCGGCTGTCATCCAACCATGTTTTCATCGAGTCAAGTTGGCCCATCAGTTCGGCCAATGCTCCACGTAGCTTGTCACCGCTCTCTTGTCCAGCCTGCAGTGAATAAGCCTCGCATTGAAGAGTGCTGCGGCATACTCGCCGAATTGTATTTGATGCAAATCCCAATGGCATCACCCTGTAGGATGTAGTCTTGGGGTCTTTGATCTCATTGATGTCTCCAAGAAAATGGAAACGTCCTTGTTGTGATTTGTAGTTCTTCTCGTTTGAAAATGAAGCATCTGTTACTGTAATGATACCAACCTCTCCCCAGGTTAGATGTCCACCTGGAAAAATGAGCTTGTTCTCAATGCCTTGTTGTGCCAGCTGTACTACGGCATTTGCGTCGTGCAAAATAGCAACTGTCGCTCCAGAAATACTGGACTGTAGGCGGCTCACACGATAACCCAAATCGGGTCTAGTCTGCCTTGCCACCCATGCCAATGATCCCGTTACAGATCGTAATCGGGTCACATCATCCTTACCCAACGGCTCGGACGCTGATCTTCCTGGCGCGATCTTGATCGGCTTGATGCGACGGGTGTTGTCACAAGTGTCTTGTGTGATTGTTCCATCTGCAGTACGCTCAAATTGCTTGCCACAATAGCGAAACGAATTTGATTCACTTGATCCCAAGTTGAACTTCTCCAAGAAGCTGTCGATCACTGACTTTCCCTCAGGAATGTATGCGTACAAGATGTCATCCACATGTGTCGCCATAAGTGCAACGCAATCTTTGTCGGTTCCTGGAAGGAAATACAATCCTGGGTAAAACTTGGATTGTTTCAAGCCACTGGATCGGGCATCTCCGTCCAACCTCAACCAAAAACCTCGACCGCTGTCAGTCAATCCATATATAGGCACCCGCACAAGGAAAAACACCTCTGGATCAACTCCCGGGAGACCTCCTCGGGGTTGTCTCATAATGAGAACTCTATCAAGAGGACGACCTTGGAAATATGCGGATGCGACGTCCGCACTGTGCAATTGTGCGCCCTGGATCGCCGCCCAACAGCAAAGAATGTTGTGAGCTTCCGTATCTGCTGTAGGACTGTCTGATCTCAAACCTTCACTGACTTCGAAATTGCCGCATGATACCAACCGGCTCTTGAACTTTGGCACATATTCTTGATCTGATCTTCCTTTCATGAACTGATTCTTGTCGACATCAACCCACTTGCTAGGAATACATTGATGTCCTTCAGCAATCAACCTCTCAGCATCTTCTTTTGAAATTTCAACAACAGCAGCGAACTCAAGGAACTTGCTCCACTCCTTGGTTCTGGCATCCATGATGTTCTTCTGTACATCAGGTGACGCTGATTCATAGTGGATTGATTTCAACACTTTCTTACCTTGCTCTTCGTCCTCAGGGACTTCAACTTCCTGGGACAAAAATGATGCAAACAATGCTCGTGCTTCTTGTTGTTCTTCAGGACTTCGTTCTGAGTCTCTCTCACGAGCTCTTTCAAGATGTGTTCGCAATTGATGCGGCAAGTCATTCAAAAGTTCTCTTCGTAATGGCCAAGATGATGCTGACGGCGAGGATAGTGGTCCCAAAACGGAGCCACTTGGAGTAAGATCAGGCACAAAGGAGTCTCTCCGAGATAGCACAAGTGATGAGCCTCTCTCCGACTCAGGTTGTAGCTGAGACTCTACTCGGGGTCTCACGTTGCGTTCATGACCTCCATCTCCTGGATGTGGTCTTTCAACTCTTCTTTCTGGGGTTCTACTCTGTGAAAAGATGTCTTCTTCCATAGGACCAGTGTCTTCCTCCTCCTCATCTTCTTCAAAGAAACCGGGCCGTATATCCCATTCATCTTCAGATACTTCTGGTATAGGAGGGAGTGCTGAATCCACATTGCCTTCATGGACAACTTCAACATCATCTGATTGTCCTGGACCATCACGAACAACCTCAACCTCATCTGATTGTCTTGCATCAAGAAACGCTTGTTGACCTGTATCATTGATGATCTTGTATGGAATCACAGGTTCACCATTCAACACTGATTGAGCAAGAGCTTCAGAAGGAGAAGCAATGCGTATGTTGTGAGAAGCTACAAGTACTGGAACGTTACCACACAGTAACCATATGTTCTTCTGGTTCTCGTGTCCGATCACACGACATGTTGGTGACCAGGACGTTCCTCCTCTCTGATTGTCTCGTCTGAAAGTGACAAGATCACCAATGTTGAACTCACGATCAAACACACTGGCATTGCGTGTCAACGCTCTCTGAACTCTTCTTGAACAATCAAGGTGAACAAAAGCCTTTTGTGCCTCAATCCTGGCCAAATGTTGTAATGCAAAAATTGATGAAGGGTCATGTCGGGCCTGAATGGCTCCGAGCTGTGCATGGTCTTCCTCTGACATGAGTGAAGCTACACCACGGGGAGCTCGACCGAGCACCCACTGAGATGGAGAAAAACCTCCAACACGTGCAGAGTCGTTCTTCACACTGAGCACCTGTGTGATGCACGACTCAACCTGTTCTTTGGTACAAGCCCCAACTTCTGTACACACTCGCCTGAAAAGAGCCTTCAACAAACCACCATGCCTCTCTACTCGGCCCAATGATTCCGGGCTCTCAAGGGGCACATGGTGCACTTGAATGTTATGTTCATCCATGTATTGTTGTAAGACACCACGATTGTGCAAACCACGGTCACACATGATAGCAACAGGATGTCCTGCCCAACTGAACCAACGTTTGATGAGCGCGTCCAAACAGGATCGCGAAGAAGCTTGACCTGCTCCAACCTTCACGACCTCGGCCTGTTGAAAACAAGTACCAATGCAAACCATGTTGAGAACTTGATACTTCTGCCCAGTTATATCTGTCAACTCCAGTACATCAATCCCCAAAGTATGGTTGAATGTATAATCACTTGGAAGCGTAACTTTGTGAGTGGGTTTCTTTGCTGATGTTTTCTCACATGTTTCACATCTATGCAACTTCACTGCATCAACAAACTCCTTACTCACCTTTGCAGCACGCACCAAATTGACCATCACCGTCTTGGGGACATGTCCAAAAGCCCTGTGCAACCTACGCACAGCAATCCTGACACGCTGGGGAAGTTTGCGCCAAGACCTACGCCTTTCTGTTTCATCCTCTGGCAATCCAGGGATATCAACATCATCCAAAAGGGTCTCTTCATGTGTCAGGTCCTCAACTGGATCCTGCAATGCAACATCTTCTGGGCCATCGACTGCATCCCAGTTCCCACCATGTTCCTGAGCCTCTTCGATGATCTCTGCTGGAAAGGCAACGCTCATCTGCTCCTCCAATTCACGTTCAAGTGACCAATCACGAATCCATTGACAAAACTCCCAATTCAAAACGTCATCCAATTGTCGATACATAGACCAATCTTGAAAACCTTGAATGAGTTCATCATCATTTGACACAAAAGCAAGACCAACTTCATTGATGTATGGTATCTGTGGTGTTTTGAATGATTCCCATCGTTCAGTGTGTGCGACATCAACAATGAGAAACCTACACCCTGTGGCATCACAATACTGTTCCAACTCAAATACAAGATCCCCATGACACAGTGGATAATGTTCTGACTTGTATTCAATTGCAACAATGATCAATGTGCAACCTTCGAACATGTCTTTCCAACCGTGTTGCTCAGCATCACCGTCCAAGTACGCAGCATTCATGCCAACGTCATAGGTGTGCTCGAAAAAATCCTGGAAAAGAGTCGGATGTGACGTGATGATTGCAACCCCTGATGTCCCATTGGAAACTTGAGGCTGCATCCCAAGACTGGACTGCATTACCCGGTCATGGTTGTTGAGATTGTTGATACCTTCCAACACCATCTTCCTGTGTTTCTTGCTCATGGTCCTCCTCTCATCAGGACGGACTGTCAAATCAACGTTGGAATCAAAACGTACAGCCATGAAACCAGTGGGAGAATACTCATAGTCATATTCATATGAATCGGAATCATCTTGTTCCAACTTGGGCATCAAGACCTTTGGCTGGGGCTTCGACTTCACTGCATACATCCTTTTGGGTTCTGAGGATTTCATCTCAACTTTTGGATTCAAAGACTTTTCAAAATCATCCCTTACATCCCGAATTTTCTTGTTGGGGGTCAACCTGACACGAACGCTCATGTATGCTCCCCTCCCGGAGTCATCGAACACCCCAGGTGGGTGGTGAAACACAATCACATCGATCCACGAGTTGCTCAAACGCACTGTTGCCCTGCTATCAACGTTGTCTTCAATGAGTTCCCAGTCGCCTCCATTGCGAGGTCGACACCATGTAGATCGCTTC